GGCTATCAATGCTTTTGCAGTCATGTAGAAATAATAGTATTCCACCAGTTTTCATGAGATATCCCCTGTTTGTTTAACCATCATTGTTGCTTTTGTTTCCTACCAGAAAGAATTTCCGGTTCCTGAACAGTTCAAGACCGCATGGGATGGATCTAAGTTGGTCACTGAACCTGCAGAGATTGTGGGTTGACTTCCTCACACCACAGAGCACTTGCTGACCACGGCTAGACTGCGGCCAGCACACACAAAGCAGTAATGTAAAGAACTAGAGGTAGCAGGAGTTCATGCTGCTCTCATAGGCCTTCAAGCATTAGCTCTGCATGCTAGGAACAATAACACATCTGGCACCCTTTTGTTAGGTAGCCTGGTCCTGGTCATGTCTCCACACAGTTTGCCTTCACATACAATTTTAATTCTGAATGGGAATGCAATAGGTTAAACCCCCCACCCTCCAGTCACATTATTGGTTTGAAATTTTGTATACATTAAGCCAACATACTGCATGATAACACTTTTTTTTTATCATCTTGCTTCAGTGCATTCCTTTTTGTATTTCTGCTAATTCAAAAACAGCATTAATACTATAAGGTGTTTATTTTTGCCTATTAAGCAATTCCTGTATGATGCAGTAAAAATGTACCTGTAGAAAGTATGCAGTTTCTTGCAGTACTGTGGCAATCATAATGTGTTTCATTTCAAACAAGCAAAAAAGGACAACTTTTACCACAGCAATACATTTTGCTAACTGAAAATGAAAAAAAAAAATCTGGTAGTTTAATCAAAAACATTTTTAATATGCATATTTAGAAGATCGCAATTTTCTGTGAAGTAAGATTTTACTGTGGTTCACAGACTTGCTGTTGCCCTCTCATTTCTTGCAAATTAGTAATTCTTTCTAAGGTAGGGTCTCATCAATGCTAAAACCTTGCAGGAAAGTACTTGAAGGTTTTTTGTTCCTTGGATTTCTTTTTTTTTTCCCCCCTTTTTTTTTTTGGTGACACAAACTCTCAGCTTTTAAAATTTCACGGTTTATCTTGCATCTTATACTGAAAACCAAGGAAGACAGACACTTCTGATACCAGCTAGTTTCCCTTACTAATAAAGTTTCTTTAAAATATTTGTATTGTAACTCATCTTGTTCATTAAAAGTATCATCCTCAGGTGTTTTTCCCCACATTTGTAGGAGTTACTAGGTTTCAAATACATTCACAAAGCAAAGCCATAGATTTATGCCATACTAATTCTGAGCCCAAATAAAGGGGTAATTTCTGGTTTAGCCCTTTGACTCTACAGTCCCTACGCTTTTTTTTTTTTTTTTTTAACAAAGATGGAGTATTGTATACATTTGTACTATTTCAGCACATAGTACAAATAAAACTTAAAAAAATTTAAAAGTCAGTTTATGTTTTTGATCACTTGTAATACTTTGTATCAGTGAAATCACAGTGAGATGCTTGCAGAGCTAGTTCCAAGCTAAACTTTGTGCCTAACTTACCTTGAAAGTACATTAACTCTTAAGGGTTTTTAAGTATACCTTTGATTGTAAACCCTATACAATACAACCAGTAGTGCTCATTCCTTACGGTTTTGCTATCTGATGTTTAACCTATGTGTATAATTGTGTTTGCTTTAATATATATCATTTTTTCAACAAGTAAACTTCTTATGAAATAAAAACAAAAATGTACTTGTTTAAAAAAAAACAAGTTGTTCAGACCTTAACCTATGACACTATTTGTCCTATAGGCTTTCTCTTCCTTAAACCCTGTTTCAAAAGCTGGAGAAAAAGTAGTTTCTCCTCCCATTTCACTAAAATATCACCACTTTTGCTGCCATAATCCATCTCACAGTGAGCAGAGGATATTCTGTATGCTGGCATGTAAACTTGAAGTGTCATGCACATAACTTTGGTGACAACCAGCAAATTGAGCTTTTCATGATTCTCACTTGTAGGTACACCTGTATGTTCAAGGGATTATGTCTAGGGAGATGATCATGATGTAGTGCAAGTTGGTATGATTTGCCTTATATTTTTACCTTTTCCTGTTGTTTCTCTATATGGCTTCAATCACAAGTGGTCCACTCCATATATCACTTGGATGTGCCTCATCTCTGAAGAATGGGCATCACATACTTGTCATGCCAAAAAGGATTGTTGAGGGGTTGTTTAGCCCTTAAATCATAATTGTAACGTGTTCCACAAAATATTCTCCTTCTGGAGGATTTCTGGCCTGAGATACTGACTCTTCCTTTCATACAGCACCAAAGAGGGGACAAGGCATTATGCAGCAGCAGGATGCCACTCACTGCTTTGGAGGTAAGACACAAACCAAGTATCAAGTCCTGATGATAAACAGAAAGCAGCAAGACAGCCCTGAATCACTACACAGGCAATTTCTTATAGTTCCTCTGAAGGATTTAACTCCCCCATTAAATACAAAGTCTGTGAAGGCTGATCTGATTCTTCTTTAAACATTTGAAGGCAAACTCCTTCATGGCAAGACCTTCACCTTAACATTCACCAATTAAGTACATTGGTTTGACTGGTTTCTTAGCAGAAATAGGTCCTGTGCAGTAACAACGCGTGCCTGACAGTCTGAGCACACCTCAGACCTTTGTCAGAGGGCAGAAGTTTAAAAAAAAAGGAAGAAGGCCTCACATGGACAGACCCAAGGCAATTGCTTCAGCTTAAGAAACGGATACCAAGTGAATGCATGACTGGACAGCAGAAAAGTAGGAGAGAGACTTCTAAGATAGATTGTATCCAGTCAACCACACAACAACAACAAATCTATAACTACCTTTTGTCAGTTCAGTTTGGTCATCATAAAAAATACTTGTCATACATTTCCAGTAGGTTGGACTGTTCTTTCCCTGCAACCTGTTATTAAATTCAAAATTACAAAGGAGTGTTAAATCAACAAAGTTCTGCTTCTACTTTACATGAATTTGTGTACAAATTAAAAACTCATTTTGTGAAAAATCAAGTTTATCTTAAAGAATAGAAATAGCCAACAAACTGCAGAAAGATGATTTGATGAATCATCTCAACTATGAGCAGTTGCATCCACCAAGTTTTCAACAGCAAGACTGATCTGTCTTTGATGGTTGATTCCAGCAAGGAATGAACTGCTAAATGCTGAGCATCCCTAAGGTCCAATTGATCTTTTTTTTTATTACTGCGTGTTGTCACATAAGATATACCCCTTGATTTCTGCATTACACTGCACTAATAATGTGGTCGTGCCCTAAAATCAGTGCCACTGCCAAAACAGAAAACAGTGAATTTGGTTCATATATTGATATGGAAAAAACGTGTATGGTATAATTAGCCAGTTCATTTCTATAAACATGCATGGGTCAAATATTCACTAGTACAGATGCTGTAAATCAGACAGTAAAACATGTAAAAGGGAAGGTGAGTTTTTAAGTGTCTAAATGTAAAGAGCTTTTTTCCTATGAAAACTTCAATAGATGTCAAAGTTTCTTAAACAGACTAGAGTGCAAAGAGGAGGGAGCCAGGCTCTCTTCAGGAGTGCCCAGTGACAGGACCAAAGACAATGGGCACACACTGAAACACAGGAGATTTCCCTCTGTCTGTCAGGAAACTGTTTTCAGGTGCAAGTGACCAACACTAACACAGGTTGCTCAGAGAGGCAATGGAGTATCCAGCCTTAGAGAATTCAGAAGTCCCATGGACATGGTCCTGCACAACCAGCTCTAGGAGGCCCTGCTCGGGCAGGGTGGACTCCAGAGGTCCCTGCCAACCTCAGCCCTTCCGCATTTGTGATTCTCACCTAGTTGTTCAAAATACTGCTTACTAAGAGCCCACGGAAATTAGAAGCATCGAGGTAGTAACTGCAAGTACCCACCAGATGGCAGGAAACAGCCGAGGCCAGGCCTTCGCAAGCTTTTAATGACGACCTGCACTACTGCAGCGTTTAAAAGGGCGTGAATACTGGTTGCCATGGAGCTGGGGAATTCTGCCCTCTAAAAGTCACTGGAAAAACACTTAATATTACTTTGATCTTGAAATCATCATCTTGGTAAAGGTTGGGGTGGGATGAACGAGGAAGAATTAAAAAAACTACTTGTTACCTACTTGTTACCAATTATTAAATTGATCTTTTGGGTTGGTTTTCATTTTTTTTTTTTTTTAACACTGCTAAGCATATCTACATTTAAAAAATACCTGATTTAAATTAAAAGTCATATTTAACAGAGACATTGAAGATAAAGGAATAAATAATTTAAAATATTTGTTTGAAAACCAGAAATCTTTTCAGTGTGCTAGAGAATTAGGCGCTTGCTAAGGCTTCCCTGTGCCACAGTTATTTTGCAGACAAATCATTTTTGTTCTTACTCTTTCCTGAATCCTCGGCATATCTGAATCTGCAGGAGTTCCTTCAGTGTTACTGCACTATGTGTTCATCACCCTGTGCCTCACATATATTTCCTAAAGATCAAACATTTGGGCATTTGGAATGCTTTAGGGTCTCAGTTCAGTGTGCACCCTTAGTGCACTCTCCTGATGTGCTGTTCAACTGGGCTCCTTCTAAAATGTGGAAACTTCCAGACAAATGGAAGTAATGTTCAGTCAATTACACAATATGCTAGCAAGCACAGCAATTACCAAGAACATACAAAGCAGATTCAGTTTCCCTTCTGTAGGTGATCTGAGCCCAACTGCTGTGAAAATACTGTCCAGAAATAGCTACTGCTCTCTGAAGATGCCTGTAAACAGGCCCCTGACTTGTGATAAAATCCCCCTCTTACTAGTTAAAAGTCATAAATAATGCTCCCCAAGGAACGTTCTGACTACCAGAAAACAAAAACCTGCTCTGTCTTTATGGTTAAAATAGCCCTGAAAATACTTTTTGTGTGCCAAAAGTTCTGGAGAAGAACAGAGAACATTCCCTACTCCACCACCCAAAACTCAGTGATGACTTCTTAGGTTTAACCCTTCTTCCCTAGGTCTTGCTGCATGCTGAGGACCCTACCTGATCACCACTGATCACCACTCTTGCTCTCCAAAGCCATGTCCCACTGCTGCTTCAACAGAGGCACCACCATATTTCCTCCCTGGGAAGAGAAGGGAATGTGACAGAGAAGGGAGTTAGGTAACTGGTAAGGCTTCCCAGTGCCACGTTCCTGAGTAAAGCTGTTTTGTTATTACTCTTCCTTCAAAAAAGGCCCAGGTAAAAGGCAAATAAAGGCGTTTAAGCACAACTCCTAAACCAATACTAATAAACAGGCAACCGCACAAAAAACTTGTGTGCTGTAAGATAGAAGTGGAAAAGTTTATTGTTTTTTTTATTCTCCAGCTAATTTGCTATCACCTTTTTATCAATTGTGACCACCAGGATTCTGTTTTCTCTGTATTCCACTTGAAGTTGCATATATTAGGAAGAAGTTGCTTCAGTGAGCTGTGTAAGGCCTTAGAGCCAATCTCTCCTTAAATTCCTCAGATGGATGAGATAGATCGGTTTCAAAGTGAAAGGTTAAATGAATTTAATTTGGGAGAAAGTTGTACCATTTTCCACACTAAATGTGTAACATTTTACATTATGTAAATGCATACATACGTATTTTGGCTCAAGTTTCATGTTCTGCATCTGGCTGCTTGCCCCAACAAGGGGGAAGGTTCTCATTCTTTGGTGACTTTGTATAGTTTCAGTGATGAAGACTCTCTTTAACCATAATTTGCATTTAATTTCACTCTGTACATGATCATAAATACTAGATACAAATGTCTAAATAACATGAATTGTAGCTACTGGGCCCAACAATAATTAACCACTTTGCAATGACAAGAGCTTGTTGTTGATTAATGTCAAACAACTCTCTTCCAAGGACTCTTTAGAAGAGCTCATACTATTAGAATATTTCAGCATGATGCAGGAGATGTGATCTGTTATCCCCCCAGCAAAGGAAAGAACTGAACTTCAATGCTTCGGTGAGTCCTCGGTTTTAAAGGTGGTTTAAAACCCTTGAAAACAAGATGCTGGAAGGCATATCAAAAATGAGCCAAGGTACAATGTCTGTAGCTCTGTACAACAGCCAGATTCACAGCACACCAGTGTTCATTACCTCCTGATGACCATGAAGGATTCCCCACTCTAGAGTGACTGATCAGGTTTTTCAGCATTACCTACACTTAAAGAGCTTAAGGTGAGATTCCAGATTCCCCTTAAACCTTAACTATTATGACACCAGCTTATAGGTACTTACCTCCTTCTTTTGATTTAGTTCAAAACATTCCCTCTTGACTAAATCTCATTTCTAGGGAAGAGGATATTTAATTGCCAAGGCATTCAACTACTTGCTTTCATCAGCTGGTACAATGAGCTGCCCACCCACGAGGGAAAGCAATGTAGCAAGGGATTGGTGCTGCAGAAGGCTATAAATACTGCCCTGGGTGGCAATCTGACACAGCAATGAAACAAGACCATCGGTCATCAAAAGCCTAAGCTGTGTGTTTCTCACTACTGGCAAGCTGTGTTGTCACAGCATCTCTCTCACATGCATCCCAGAATAGATGAATCTGAATGCTTGCAGAATTTGTTGGTCAGTTGTGGGGGTATTTTTTTTAAGCAGAAGAATGAAAAAATAATAACTGAAAAATTTGGGCATGAGGAAACATTATATTGTTACCTGTTAGTCCCCTGCTCTTTGCTGTCAGTGATTCTGTTTCACCTTGAATAGCCAGAATAATCTCATAGTGAGTTCTAGCTTTGGTTATGCCTGTGTAATGCTGCTGCTGGTGAGCCTAAAATTTACATGTGACTGGCAGCATTATACAAAGTCTCTGAGATCTTGTAATTGGACTTTAAGGTTTGATCTGGCTTTCAAAACCTGTGGCCAAAGAGACCAAAAAAAAAAAAAAATTAAAATAAAAAGGCTGGACACTATTTGGTCCTGAAGGGTTTGTGGTAAGAAAAATTGAATAGACTGTAACTCATTAAGGAAGAACTGAAATATTATAGGGAAAGAAGTCTTGTTACATTACATTTATTGTGTTTTCCAAAATAGTTTTTCTATTAGGAATTAATAGATGGTTTAAAACCATATTTTCCTCTATACACATGTCTATCTTCCCTCCTTTCTTTCTTCCTAATCATGCTAAAATTTGCTGTGTTTCCCTAAACATTTACCCATATTGATTTCACCAAGGTCTGTGTTACAAAACATGCCAGTGTAATTAAACCTACAGTGAGTGCCAGCACCTTACATAACTGCATTATATTGTACGGGTCACTATTTGATCATTACTTAGGCAATTCATCTCAGCTTGCTTGTATTAGAGACTTGCTCCATACAAACTTCTGGGACTGAAAGAGTGGAAATTTCTGTTAGATACACAGGAAAAATTCTTTACTGTGAGGGTGGTGAGGCAGCAGAACAGTCTGCCCACAGAAGCTGTGGATGCCCCACCCCTGGAAGTGTTCAAGGCCAGGTTGGATGGGGTTTGGAGCCACCTGGGCTAGTGGAAGCTGTCCCTGCCCATGGGCTGGGATCTTTAAAGTTCATTCCAAACCAGGCCATTCTATGGGTCTATGATTTTATGAAATTACTTCATTTTTTAAAATTAGGTGAGGTTAAATGGAAAAATAGTTCATCAGGGAGAGGGAGAAACTTCTGGTTTTGTTCAGCTGTGGCGTTAGGTGTCTTCAACATGGGAAACATTCCAGGTTCACAGTATGTATTACTTGTTAATTCAGTATTGACCTGTGTTAACACCTCTGTTCAGACATAACTCTTGGTCTGGTTGAGATGCTTAACAGGACACAGAAACCTTAAAGACTAAAAGTTAGTTAGAAGAACGGTGTTTAAACTTGCTGCTGGGTCTTTGTTCAGCATTTGAGGGGATCAAGTGCTATGAGGAGCGGCTGAGGGAGCTGAGGGTGTTGAGGGTGGAGGAGGCTCAAGGGTGACCTTACCGCTCTCCATAACTCCCTGGAAGGAGGCTGTAGCCAGGTGGGGGTCGGCCTCTGCTCCGGAGAGTTACAGGCCGGACAACAGGAAGAATTTCTTCACAGAAAGGGTGATTAGACATTGGAATGGGCTGCCCAGGGAGGTTGTGGGGTCACCGTGCCTGGAGGTGGCACTCAGTGCCCTGGTCTAGTTGACACGGTGATGTTCAGTCACAGGTTGGACTCGATGACAGAGGTCTTTTCCAACCAAAATTACTCTGTGGATTGTGGGGGGTTTGTTTGTTTTGGTTTTGTTTGTGAGTGCTTTTGTTTTGGGTAGGTTTTTGTTTGGTTGGTTTTTTTCCTCTTTTTCACATGACGAACATGATATGTGATAGGGGAAAAGATGAAAAGGGGGAGATAGAGGAAGAAAAAAACCCAAGAGACTAACACAGGAAAATAAAACCACAGAACACGCACCATGAAGAGCTCCAGCGGCCGCTCCGTCCGCACGCCGGGGGCGGTGGCCGCTGCCTCAGCGCTCGGCGATACCATTCGTGGCAGGGGCGGGGGGGAAGCTGTGGGTTGTGCTGTTTCTCCCCGGGCGCGGGGCTCGCCTCATCAGGCTCTTCCCCCCCACTCAGCCGCGATAAGTGGGAGAGGCGAGGCGCGTCCCGACGCACGCGCGGTGAAGGCTCAGTGACCGCCGCGATGGAGGAGGCGGCGGAGCGCGGCCGGGCAGGCGCTGGGGCGGCGGCGATGGCGGAGGGACGCAGCGCCGCCGGAGAGGAGGCAGCCAACGCCACCGCCAACGCCACCGCCGCGTCCTCGCCACCGCCGTGCTCCCCTCCGGAGGGCGGCGGGACGAAGCCACTGAGCGCGGCGGAGTACGCGCGGCGCGTACATCAGTGGCTGTGGGACTCGTACTGCGGGTACCTGGGCTGGCAGGGCTGCACGCCCGCCTTCCTCGCCGCCGCCGCCGCGCAGCCGCCCCCGCCCGCCGCCGCCGCTGCCTACTACAGCCCCTTCTACCTCTTCGCTCCGCCGCCAGCACACGCGGCCTCCCCCGGGACGGGGCCCCGCGGCCCCACCGCTGCCGCCCCAGCCTGGCCGGGGGCGGCGGGCGCGGTGTCCCCCCTGCCCAGGGCGGCCGCCGGCAGCGCCGCCAGCACCGGCGGCAGCGGCGCCTCCCGGGACGCGGGGCGGCCGGCGGGTGAGTGGGGCCGGGGCTGGGCCTGGGGAGGAAGAGGAGCCCGATGAGAGCCGCGGCTCCGGGAAGCGGGATCTGGAGAGGGAAGCCGGGGGTGTGCGACGTTGGGAGTCGCTGCGCTTCCGCTGGCTGCGGCCCCGGGCATGTGGCTGTGCCTTTGTGATACAGGCTGGCAGCCCTAATACCGAGGGTGTAAATCCAGAACCTGATGCATAAGCAGGTTTGGGGAGATTGACTGGCATATACAGCTTACCGCTTCACAGCTTGTAAAGATGTTTTTGTGCTTAGGAAGGAGTTTATTTTTTTTCTAGTGGAAATTATTCTTCTGGTTACAGGCTTGTAGTGCATCTAGCTTTATGAGCAGCCCGTCTGTGTTATGAAATCTAAACTAACTTTGCCTGTTTCAGTGAGCTGTTGGTGCTCAAAATCATTTTGTCTAATCGAAGCAGAGAAGTGAAAACATGCTGACATTGAACAAACTTAGGCAGTGGGACCCGAGATAAACAAACGTCTGTTGCAGCTGTAAACATTGAAGGCAGTGCACAGCAGGCCTTCTGTTTGTATTTTTCAGGAATAAAGCAAACTCACTCTGATCACATGAGAGGTAAAACCTGCAGCAGCAACAACTCCTCACAAGTCGAGGAGTGCCTAGGTCACATTCCTTGAATGTTCCTACCACTGTGAGCAATGGTAGAGAATTGTGGAGGAGAGTACTGCTGACGGACTTTGGAAAAAAGCCAGGGCTCGTTTCTCTCTACAGGACAAAGTACGACACTGATGATCTGTGACATTATTTATAAGCCTAGTGGCCATATGTGTGTGGAAGATGTTTTTTATTCCTTTTCCCTTATTTTCAAGGGAAGGGAGCCTAGCCTCTGAGCTTGCTTCTTACTTATGATTTTAGGTAGATGTTTTTTAAACATGGTTAGGAGACAAAATAGTATTTTCTGTAATTATGCCCTGATTCTATTATAGTTTGGTTATGAACGGATATTACCAGTCATTAAAGGGAGGGTTGGACAAAGGCTAGGCTGAAATGATTCTTGGAATTTTGATGGTTTATCAGGAGCTAATTCCATATGTTAAAGGTTATTTAGGGCATGAATAACATTTCATGCTGCTGAACATGGTTATTCTGAATATTGCATACTATTGCAACACACTTGGCCTTCTTGGGTGACTAGGTATGTGATGCAGTAATACAATACAGTTATAAACAAAGACTGTTGTGTGGATGCTTTGGCTACAGATGGATATATCTGGAACAGCTAAAGTGATTATGGCTTCTTCCCTGCTGTAGATTATTGCCCACACAGCAGTGAGGCGAGGCAGGGCAGATCGTGTATCTGTCCCTGTGCCAGTGCAGTTTACAGCCCGTGTGCTTACGTAAGCTGAAATAAATGACAGCTTATGCTACTGTTGCAGATTTCAAACTGGGATGTCAAAAAGTGGGATTGTTAACTGCCTCTGCCACTTCAATCTGCCTGCAGGTGTGTGTCAGAGCAGTAAAACTTAACAGCACCCTGGGCAGTGGCAGGCTCTTCGTGGACAGACACCACAATTTAAGACATTTCTTGCCTGGTCCCTCCCTGCCTTACTGCAGGAGATTACTGCTCATCTGCTGGGAAAGTAGGGCAAAGGGTGCATCCAAGCCCCAGCTGCCCTGTGGCTGACTGGTGCAAACCCCTCTTAAGCACTATGTGGATGCAATATCCTAGACATTGAACTAGATGGATGTTGCATTTGGCTGGCCTTGCTGAATAAATAGTAACCCTTGGCAAAAGAGTGGATTTTTGATACGATGAACAGCTTGAATCACTGCAATGTAAATCTGCCAGAGTCTAAGGGTTGCCAAGGTTTCTTAATGTGATGGAGTTAACCATAATTTGAATACTTACCTTCCTAGCCCCATGTAGCTTCTTCTTTAGGCAGTAATTTAATTTAATTTATTCAATGGTTAATAAATCAGTCCCTGCCACCAACTTCAACAAATGTGCTGATTTTGACAGAGCAAATGAAAGCTGTCACCTGGCACTGTGTGCTCAAGCCAGGATTGGGAGACTGGCTATGTTCCCTCCTGCCTTAGTTGAAGAATCTCTAATTAGAATTTAACAGAGAACTTGGACAGGCTTTGACAATGCCAGTGAAATCCACTTTAGTATTATACATGTTGCGGTTCGACACTGGCCCAACACCAGGCACCCATGAGAGTCGCTCACTCACCCTCCCCTGCCACAGCTGGGTAAAGGAGGGGAAAAAGAAAAAAATGTTAACAAAGGCTTCTTGAGTGAGATAAGGACCAGGAGGAATATTTCAAGGGAAAAACAGGCTCAACTTTAGTTGCAAAGTGAAATTTATTACTGACAGAATCAGAGGAGGATAATGAGATGTAAAATAAGCCTGTAAAACACCATTTCACCCCCAGCCCCTCCCTGCTTCCCACCTGCCTCCCTGCAGGGAGACAGGGTGTGGGGGTTTTGGTCAGTTCAGCACCGAGATTTTCTCCTTCCACTGCTCCAGAAGAGAGCAGTGAAGCACTTCCCCTGTGAGACTGTGGGTACAGTTGTCCGTCAACTTCTCCAGCGTGGATCCACTCTCACAAGCAGCAGCCCTGCCAAAACTGCTGCAATGTGAAATGTGAACTCCCTCCACAGGCAGACAGTCCTCCCAAAACTGCTGCAAAGTGGGTCTCTCTTTCCACGGGGTGCAGTTCTCCAAGTACAGGCTGCTTGGCCTGGAAGCAGGGACCCCCCTCTCTCCACTGGGTCTCCCTCTGGGTCACAGCCTCCTCCAGACATCCACCCACTCCAGCATGGGCACCTCCCTGATGGATTGTGGGTGGATCTGTGCATCCCCTGTGGATGCCCATGGGCTGCAGGGGCTCAGCTGCTTCACCATGGTCTCACCCGGCCTGCAGAGGAATCTTGGCTCTGGCGCCTGGAGCACTTCCTCCCCTCCTTCTGCCCTGACCTTGGTGCTGCAATGTTGTGTATTCTACAGCACACATTCTCCTCTCCTCCTCTTCTCTAAGTAGAAGCAAAACCCATTAGTTTGTTTTGATTATCCTTTTAAATATGTCATCACAGAGGTGTTACCAGTCTCCCTCAGTGGCCCAGTTTTGGCCAGCAGCATGCCCATCTTTAGAGCCATCAGCCATTGGCTCTGTCAGACATGGTGGGAAGCTTCAGCAGCTTCTCACAGGAGCCATCTTTGTGCCCCCCCCGCTACCTAAAACCAGGCTACTTGATACTTGAATGGTCAGTGCAACAGGTATGAAATGAAGCTGTATAAACCCAGGTATGTTAAATATGGGCTGGCTCTTACCTGATTTCTGCCTGATTCTTCTTACCCTGTTTAAAAGTGCTGTGGGCTTTTGGCTTGGCTCTCATAGCTCACAGGGCCGTGGCTGGCAGCATCAGTCTCAGCAGCTGAACTGGGGAGGCTTGATCTAAATGAAATTTGTTGATGATTTTTGAGACTAGAGAGTGATGTGATTTTCTTTCCTCTTTTGTCCTTACTTTGTGTGGGGATAAGTGTTCTCAGAAACAGTAACAAAACCAGTCCCTGTTTCCACAGGTTCCATCTGGTAGTAGAAGGGCATTTCTAAGTGAAGTTTTGATGTGAGTCTTTGCATGTTTCATGTGAGAGTCGTGTTTGTCCTTTGGAAAATAGAGGTGTAGCTGGGTCCAGATGAAATTATTTTGCAACACTATTTCTTGGAAACTTTCTAAGACACTCTTTAATGTTTTCTCTGCTTAAATCACTTGAGCAACAAAAGCTCGTGACTCCTTACTTCATGTCCATTTGCAGGTGGCCAGTTAAATAGGAGAATGTGTTATGTTTTCTGGCTGGGGGTAGAGCAGCATGCTGTGTTTTATTATAATTAGTGTGTAGAAATCTTTGAGTATGACTGATGTTTTCATTCCTGTTTGCATTTGAGTGGAGATAAAATAGGCTGTGTTTTACTCTGAGGACTGGTACTTGGTATACACAGAAGCCTTGGTGCTGAGGGATAAAAAAGTTATGGTACGTCTGATTTTCTTTTTAATCTGACCTCTTGGATTTACATAAATCTGTTCTCTATGAGATTATTCTAAACAAAAGAACACAAAAACTGATGCATTTTCAATGTACTTCAGTTCTTTAGCAGGGTATGATTTTGCCTGTGATCCTAATTATGAGAAACTCAGTTCTGAAACAGTTAAAGTTCTTCAAGAAGCTTCATCTAATTCAACTTAAACAATTCAGATTATTTTTTATGCATACATTTTTAGAAGTTTTCTCAAAGAATGTGTGAGCAGAGCTCTTGATTATGTTCTTTCAGAGAGGTTAATGTGGGTTGTGCTTTATATGTTAGTGTTAACTTAGTGTTAGTGCAGTAAAATCTGGGTAATGTGAACTATTTCTGTTGCAGGTCGGGAGTTCCTTATCCCTTCACTGGCACACAGGTTCATAGCAGAGATGGTGGATTTTTTTA